TTTAATTTTATCTCTAAGTATAAATTTATGTTAAGAAAGAAAAGTTTTTATTTCATCGCTCACTCTTTTTATGAGTAGAACATAAGAGAAAGAAAAGTTTCGCGTAATTAAACTTTGAATGAATAAATAAGTTGTATAGAATTTTTTTTTATTTTTGCGTCACTCGTTCTTTATTTAGATGAGAGAAATAAAAGTTTAATAGTAACTTTTCTTTGAATAAATGAAAATTGGAAAAGAAAATTGCTTGAAAATTTGTATTTATTGTGTTATAAAATTTTTCATGTTAAGAGACAAATGCCAAATACGATACAAATTGGGAAATACCTAATATAATATGTTTTTTAACGCTCGTTATGACATTTTCACATTTTAAATTACCATTTATCTTGAATTATTGCCATTAATTAATGTGTTAATTATTGCGTTATATAAAAATAATTTGTCTGTATTTTTGTTAAATATTAGTTGTATAAAACGGGCGTAAATATACAAACTTCATGTTTTTATTTGATGGTTATAAAATATTGAACAGTAAACTAATATTCAAAATTTATAATGCCGACTTGTGTTGTTATTAATTGTACTTTTAATGCAAAACCAAGATCTCACAAATCCTTTCACAAATTTGCATATCTGATACTACTGTCAACTGTATTGTTTAGTGTATTCTTGAATTTTTTTTCATAACCTTAACAGGTTCTAATTGGTATGGAGTTGCCGACATTTTAAAAGTTTCATTATCAAAAATCAAATGTAAAATAAAATGATATTTCCTTTTTATCCGTATCCAATTTAGCAAATTTAGCAATTTAAAATAAATCAACGTAATCAAAAAATTTTTATAATAAAAAAAGTTAACAATTCATCATATATCTCTAATTAATACTGTCAGTTTATGAAATTAATTGTTAATACTTTTTTCGACGGGAAAAGAAAAAATATCATAGCGTAAAAATACCCAGAGAAGTTAGAAAAAAGTTCCGATTGTTTAAATAAAAATAAGTAAGATTCAGAATATATAATACTGCACTCTTTTGCACAAAAACGAGAGACCGTATACATAACGTTCTATATAATGTAAAACACTCGTATGAAAATCATAAGATTCGTAAGTAAAGGTTTAATATTTGTTTTAATTTAAAAACAAAAGAAATATAAGTAAGATATATAAATCGAAAAATTATTAAGATATCTGTAAAAAACAAGTTGCTCCTATAAAATAAAAATAATTTATAATTTTTTCTTTTTACAAATTTTTTTTTGCGATGTTTAGAAGAATAATACCAATAAATTTGTTTTGCTGTATATTAAAAAAATACTACAGTAGAAAAACGCAGCTTAGTTTAATTACACTTTTCTTTTGTTAAAAGTCTACCGTGACGTCATATACTAAAACTTTTATGAATTAAACGCGCTTCAAAGGAATTGCCAAAGTCTGTAGATTGCGACGCATAATTTGAAGACTCCGATTTATTGAAAAAAATGGAAAAGGCGAGCTTTGGCAAAAACAACAACATTTGTTTTTCACGGTATGCATTCATTATTTATTTTTAATCAAAAAAACTTGGTTCAAACCTTTTTTTTTAACATTATCTTTAATATGAACACAACATGTGTCGGGAGTTTGGGATCCCTTTAAGGGGAGAATCAACTTAATTTGTTAACGAAAAATAAAACAATTAACTTACTATTATAAAAGTAATAATACTCTAGTCACTAACTGCATTACAAAAGTAATAACACTATAATAGTGTTATTACTTTTATAATGCACTTATTACTTTTAAAATTCATTCTTTGTTCAAGCAACATTAGTATTCCCAAATTTTAATTTAAGTAGAAAAATATTTAGAAGAATAAAGTGGATGTTCAAATAATATTAAAACTTAAATAACTTATAAAAATGTGACAAACAACTTTATAAAAACGTATCGTATTAAAAGTTTAACATTATGAAAAAGGCGGACTTTAAAACGGCGCACCCCAAACTTGGTAAACAACAAACGCTTTCGTTACAAAAATTCTTGGTAAATTCACTGAATATTTTATAGAATGGTAAAACCGCGCCGTTACAACAAGTGCCAAAATGGCTTCCTCGAAAAAAAAAAAAAAATTTTTAAAACCATTTTTAAAATTTAAAACTCTAATTTAAATATTTACAAACCAAATATAAAAATTTACAATTATAAAATTAAAACATTTACACCTATACAACTGATATTAGAATTAAAATAAGTAATAGTTTTATTAATTTAATAGAGTTTTATTAATTTAATTAAGTTTTTTTCAAGGCTTTACTATTTTAAGTAAGGTTTTACTATTTCACAAAGGCTTACTTGAGAAATGTTTTGTAATAAGTTAAAAATTTGCAAAAAACATTAAAAAAAATTATGTATAGGTGCTAACAGTTTTAAATCTCAAATAAATAATTACAATATATTATTACTTTTTCAAAAAAATAAATGTTCTGATATTCTTCAGTTTACTTTTCTTTCATTAACTTTTTTTTATTCGAAATCACTATCTTTCAATCTTCAAATCTTCAAATGTCTTTTTTTCTTTATCTCGTTGTTTTAAGCTTGTTTTTTAAGCTCCTCCATGTATATTCTTCTCATCATCAGTATTTGTATCTTCTCGTCGTCAGTGTAACAGTCATCTTGTCATCAGAAGCTTATATATATATATATATATATATATATATATATATATATATATATATATATATATATATATATATATATATATATATATATATATATATATATATATATATATAATGCTTAACACAATAGTCTAATGTGAGTTTGATGTCATAAAATTGTTTTTATTTTTTTATTTTTTAAAAAGATTACATTTTTTAAATTACTGTAATAATAATTACCACAAAACAAGTTAAATATTATTTAACTTCTTTTTTATTAATAACTATAGGGGAATGTTTATTTTCTTTTATTTTTTTAATTTTAATTTATTAAATAATAAATTATATATTTTTATTAACTTAGTTTTAAATTAAATCATTTATTTTTTATCAGAATTAAATTAAATAACGCTTATAATGGTGCATTGGTGTACCCTTATCAAGCACCATATTTTTGTGACTTGTCTAGATAAGTTTAATGAGAACACAGAAAGCATTTTTAATTTAACACTTAAAATAACAACAGAATACAGAAGCTTACTTAGAAACATAATTCAAAACTTTTTTGTCATTCAAACTTTTAATATTTTTACAAATATTTTTACATAATCGTCATTCAAAAGTTAATGTGGTTTTGAAAATTTAGGCTTGGTTTCGAAGGCTTTTAACATGTTTTCAAAATTTAAAAATTTGCTGAAAAAATTTACCTAAACTTAAATTTTAAAAAGAAAAGAAATTTTAATGAAAGAGAAAATAAAACAAACTTAACTAAAACATAAAAAAATAAAAAATTTAAATTAAATTAAAGTTCTTTTCATAGATTGTAGATCTGCAAATTAGTGTATATAAAATTGATCAGATGAACTAAGTAGTTTTTAATATTTTATATATTAGTTTTCTGTTTTTTTTTCGTCTTATGAATTAGGTGAGGTTGCAGACACAAGTTAAAGGTTCAAATGTATACACTGGGACATGGGACTGTGCTAAAAAAACCATTCAAAAAGAGGTAATTATAACCTATTTAAAAAAGAAGTATTTTAAAGTTAATCATTGTAATTAATTTTAAAGTTAAAAAACTATATAGGGATTTCGGGGCTTATACAAAGGCATGGCTACGCCACTTATTGGAGTTACTCCAATTTATGCAATTTGCTTTTTTGGGTTTGGCATTGGTAAAAAGTTACAAACAACTGACCCTAACCAAGAATTGAGGTAAGATTTTGTGCTGTTTTTTGTTACATTTTTAATGGTTTAAATATTTGATCACAAGACCATAATTATTAAAATGATATTCATAATCATGGAGATTAAACTTCCCTTAGTAGCTTATTAAGTAATTTATTTTTATTTCTGTTTTAAGCTGTAACCCTGTGTATTTGACTTGTTATTTATTTTTTTAAAAACAAACTGGGGTCATTGTTATAAAACATTTTATTAGCGCAAAATGCTACCAGCGGAAATTTTATTCTTGGAATTTTTACAGCTGTAAATTAAGAGTCATAAAATATTTTTCAATTCAATGATATAAAACTTTTCCACATCAAATTTTGCTTATATCTATGCTCTGAATTTATTTTTAGAAATCTATTGTCTGGATCAATAATAATCTTAAGACATAAAATATTTCTATTCGTAAGGAATAAAATATTTCTAAAACATCATAGTTAACAAACTGAAGTTTTAAATCCAGTTTTCTCATTAACTTGGATTGTTCCAATTGAAAAATATTGTGTTGCTTTAGAATATTTGGTGAATCAGAGACAACCACAAGAAGTAAAACTGTCTAAACTTAATTTGTTAACGAAAAAATAAAACAAGTGATAATAGTAAGTTATTTAGACTGTTAAGAATAATAGTAAGTTATTTAGACTGTTAAGAATACAATTTAAAAATCAAAAAATGGAATTGTCATTAATTTTTTACCCTACCCCATAACAAAATTTGTATAGTTTTTCTATATAAAACTTATACTATTTTCTATAGGCATTTTGAAACAAATGGCCTATAAAAATAGAGGTTTCTTTTCACTACCAATTGCGATTCAATAAAATATTATTATAATATTTTATTGAATTGTAATTGGTAGTGTAAAGTTTTTGTAATTAGAATTATAAGTTCGTTTGTTTCCTCAAATCTCAAATAACCTCTGCATACATTTTAAATGGAGAAATTTCTTTTGCCTGTCCATTTTGAGTTTGTCTGAAACTAAAGTTGATCTGATTTTTGGATCCAATAAAACTTTTTATATCATTTCAAATAAAGCCCATATATATATATATACATGGGCTTTATTTCGCCCGTCTAAACTGACTTAGACAGGTGCGAAGACGGGCACGGGCCATAGCCCGCTATTCCTGCCG